TTTTTTTTTTTTTTTTCTTTTTTTCTTTTTTTGTGACAGAATCTCACTCTGTTGCCCAGGCTGGAGTGCAGTGACTCAGTCCTGGCTCCCTGTAACTTCTTGGGTTCAAATGATTCTTCAGCCTCAGCTTCCCAAGTAGCTGGGATTACAGGCATCCACCAGCATGGCTGGCTCATTTTTGTATTTTTAGTAGAGACAGAGTTTCACCATGTTTGCCAGGCTTGTCTCAAGCTCATGACTTAAAGTGATCCACCTGCGTCAGCCTCCCAACCTGCTGGGATTACAGGTGTGAGCTGCCACACCTGGCCACTATAAGCATTTTTAAGAGGTACTATGTGGCTCTTAGTAGTAGTAAGATCATTCTGTTCAGACATAAGAGAATGCTGAAGTGAAACAAATAAATTTTCTGTCAATGTCTGGCGATATTTTAATTGAATAAAAGTGGCAGCAGTAAGCTCTTTGGGCCTTACAGGAAGCATTTGAACAATAATGAGTACAAAAATCTTGGGTAATGAAGCAGCAAATGCTTTTGACTAAAGCCTTTCTGGCTTGCCTAATGTTTTTGACCAGAGAAATAAGAGAAGAAATTAAACAGGCAGTGAGGCATGTCACCATCACTGCTATATCAGCCTACTGATTTTCAACAATAGTGGCTGAAGACCCTGGGTTTGCTGTAAAGCTGTTTTGAAAATGCTCCTGCTGAATCAAATAACTCAAGTATTTTCTTCATCTAGAATATTCAAAGTCATCTGGGTGAGGCCCTAATCCAAGATTTAATCAACTACTGTCTGAGCTACATTGCGAAAATTAAACTCCCGAAGAAGAGGTGGGTTTGCTTGTAACAAAGAGGCATCACTGGAACATAACGTAGTGTCATATGGTGGGTTAATGTGGGCATTCCCCAAATAGGATTATAAAATCACCTAAAGAGTTGTAAAAACAAAGTCTGATATTTAGCCTGCCCCTTGACAGTTGTGATTCAGAAAGCCTGAGAGTCGAGCTTGGAAATCCACGTTTTCTCTGACTGCCCTGGTGCTGCTGGTTCACAGCAGGGTTCAGTAGCCACCATGGGCCAGCGAATTTAAATCCGAATCCCAGCACTTAGTAAGGAATAATTGGAAACAGTCCACAAAGCCAACAGTACAAGAGTGATTATGTAAATGATGGCTTGTCCACATGATGGAAATTTATACAGCCATTGAAGCCCATATGCTTTCAAAGGCTGTCAGTGAGAGGAAACAGCAGTGAAGCAGCGTGTACAAAAAGCAACAGAAACCCTGGATTGGGAAGTCTCAGACAGGAAGCCTTCAGGCCAGATCCATGTAAAACCCAAATCTGGTTGGCCTGCAGTGTTAAAGAAAATCTGGATTAATTGCCATCATGTAAAAGTCTGATTTTACTTTTTAAAATTTATTTATGTTTTTATTTTTGAGACGGAGTCTCACTCTGTGGCCCAGGCTGGAGTGCAGTGGTAGGATCTCGGCTCACTGCAACCTCCGCCTCCCAGGTTCAAGCAGTTCTGCCTCAGCCTCTGGAGTAGCTGGGATTACGGGCACGTACCACCATGCCCAGCTAATTTTTTTTTTTTTTTTGCATTTTTAGTAGAGATGGTGTTTCACTGTGTTGGCCAGGCTGGTATTGAACTCCTGACCTCAACTGATCCACCTGCCTCAGCCTCCCACATTGCTGGTATCACAGGCGTGAGCCACCACACCCAGCCTAATTTTATGTTTTAAACATCTGGATTTTTGGCTTCTGTTGGCAAATGTGAGACCTGGCTATTCCAGCTCCCAGTTCCCCCCTGGCGGGTGCCACCCGAGCAACTGCCACCTGAGCCACGGACCTTTGTTCCAGTCTTTCACAGACTGCTTCTCGCATTTCCTGACTCTGTAGGCTTTCTTTTTGTTTTTTGTTTGTTTGTTTTTGAGAGAGAGCATCTCGCACTGTTGCCCAGGCTGGAGTGCAGTGGCATGATCATAGCTCACTGCAGCCTCAACCTCCTTGGCTCAAGTGATCCTCCTACCTCAGCCTCCTGAGTAGCTGGGACTACAGGCACATGCTACCATGCCCGGCTAATTTTTTAATTTTCTATAGAGACAGGGTCTTGCCACATTGTCCAGGCTGGTCTGCAACTCCTGGCCTCAGGCGATCCTTCCACCTCAGTCTCCCAAAATGTTGGGATTACAGGCGTTAGCCACCGCCCCTGGCTTTCATAAATGTTTGGTTTGGGGACCTACCTTCTGCCATGGGTACAGTTATCTCAATTCCATTTTTAAAATAATAGTAATACTAATAACGATGAACATAAATGCCCACAGTGAAAAGACTGGCAGGAAATAGACCCAAATGTTAACCGTGGCTATTTCTTGATGGTGAGGTTGCAGGTGATTTCTTTGAAATCCTTCTCATTTTTACCCCCAGTTTTCTTTCTCGCTCTGTTGCCCAGGCTGGGGTGCAATGGCGCGATCTTGGCTCACTACAACCTTTGCCTCCCGGGTTCAAGCTATTCTCATGTCTCAGCCTCCCGAGTAGCTGGGATTACAGGCGCCCACCACCAGGCCTGGCTAATTTTTATATTTTTAGTAGAGACAGGTTTTCACCATGTTAGTCAGGTTGGTCTTGAACTCCTGACCTCAGGTGATCCAGCCACCTCGGCCTCCCACAGTGCTGGGATTACAGGCGTGAGCCACTGTGCCCGGCCTTCCCAGTTTTCAGTACTTACTGTGTAACACCTTAATAATCAGGGTCGAAACACGGTTTAAGTGGCAATTCGATTTCAGTGCAGGCTGTACTTCAGAGGCTGCTTCACACTATTAGGATTCGTAACCTGAGTGCCTCCTGCTCAGCACCTCCTTCCAGAGTGCAGGAATGTCCCTTAGCCCAAGAGGAGACCTGCATGAGACAGGCCGGACCCGGACTTTGTTACTGTTGCAGCTGGGTAATGGGCATGTGAGGACTCGTCCTATTCTGTTTAGTTTTGTGTGTGTTAGAAATTTTCCTTGGCAAAAAGATAAAATATACAAATATCCCAGGTCAGTTCCGTTTTTACTCTGGACCGAGTGCTAAGGGAGGATTAAAATAAAAAAAAAGGCATAATCCTGTCCTCAAAGAGTGTATCATTTAGCAAGGGAGAGGCATGTGGAGAGCCATAATTCCAGAATAGTAGAAGAGATTTGGTGAATCCAGGAGGCAGAGCTGAGACCCACCTTGACCCACATTTGTCCACATTTGCCTGACAACACTAACTACATATCCCACGATGGCCAGGCAGATGCAGTGAGACTTCAGAGAGCCCAGGTCTTTAGGGAGGAACTGAGTGCTTGGTAATCCACCTTCATCCTTGTTTTGGGGAAGGCTTTCTAAACTGCATCAGCTTCTCTCTGTGCCTTGAAAATGAGAAGAAGAATATGTCCTTGAGTAGGGGGGAAATAATGGAGCTGTTTTTCTGATCATTAGGACCCATAGCCCTAGGGTCACCCGGGGCATGGTCACCAGTCCCCTAGTGCCTCAGTGCTCATACAGAAGTGGTAGAGGACAGGCTGGGCCTCCACCAACTCCGGGACGGCCTGGACATGGGATTTTTGAGAGAGATGTTTAGGCTTGCATATTTTGTTACATAATTTGCCTGTTTCTCTGAAAGTTGAGCACAACGGGGGAGAGGATCCAGCTGATGGAGGTTTTGCTGTTTTCACTTTGATAAGTATTCATTGCTTCCCAGTTTACAGAGTACCTTTACATAACTGGCACGTTGATTTTAACAAGGCCCTTTGGAGGTGACCAGAGCACGTGCTATTAGCCTTTCTGTAGGTGAGTAAGAGGAGGCTTGGAGAGGTGCCCAGAGCCACACTGACATGGGATTAGGTCGTCAACCGTGCACGTGGCATGTGGCCTCTCGGTATTTCCGATGGCCAGTGCCTGGAGAACAGATCTGTGAGATTAAAATAGTAAAAAAAAAGATCAGGGAAAATGTTTCGTAGGATTCCCAGGCATCAGCGTTTAGAACTGGAAGACACTTTTCACTGCGTAGTTTGTCAGAGAATGCTTAAATTTCATTGGTCAGAATGATGTCTAGTTTACAAGTTATCTGAACTTTTAAGAAACTGGGTGGTTTTCTTTTTTTGGTTGTGGGGTTTTTTTTGTTTGTTTGTTTTGTTTTTTTGAGACAGAGTCTTTGTTACCAGGCTGGAGTGCAGTGGTGCGCTTTCAGCTCACTGCAGCCTCCACCTCCCGGGTTCAAGTGATCCTCCTGTCTCAGCCTCTCAAGTAGCTGGGACTACAGGCATGTACCACCAGGTCCAGCTAATTTTTGTATTTTTAGTGGAGACAGGGTTTCATCATGTTGGCCAGGCTGGTCTTGAACTCCTGGCCTCAAGGAATCCACCCACCTCAGCCTCCCAAAGTGCTAGGATTACAGGCATGAGCCAAAGAAACTGTTTTCAGACTCATAGTGGAAACAGTGGAAAAAATCATCTTTTTGTTTTTTGTTTTTTATTTTGTATGTGTGTGTTTGTTTTTTTGAGACGGGGTCTCCCTCTGTTGCCCAGGCTGTAGCGCAATGGTGCGATCTTGGCTCACTGCAACCTCCACTGCCCAGGCTCAAGCAATCCTCCTACCTCAGTCTCTCAAGTAGCTGGGAATACAGGGGTGCGCCACCATGCCCAGCTAATTTTTGTATTTTTTGTAGAAACGGAGTTTCGCCATGTTGCCCAGGCTGGTCTGAAACTCCTGAGCTCAAGCCATCCACCCACCTTGGCCTCCCAAAGTACTGGGGTTATAGGCATGAGCTACCGCACCCAGCCAAAAGAACATTGTTAAACATCTTCATTTGAAGTGACTAAACTAATGTTAGTTTCTCATTTTATGTGATCAAATCAAACATTTAGGAGCTGTCTGCTAATGGGTAAATTGAATTTCCTCAGTTCTTACTGAGGCTCGTTGGACAATTCTCAGAGCCTTTTTTTGTGTAGCTTTGCTTGGTACTATCAGTCTGTTCAGAAGCTCAGTAGCAAGATAGATGTCTGGTACATGTATTTTCAGACTCCTCAGGGAAACGACTGCTGTTGCCAGTGCTGGAAATCATTTTCATAGCTCTGTATTAACCATAAAATTATCTGCCCTATAGCAGCACTGTGCAGCAGAAACAGAAAGTGAGCTATGTATAATTTTAAATTTTCTGTAGCCACATTTTGAAAGAATGAAAAGGAAGAGGTGAGATGCCTGATATAAAATATGACCCCTTTTTATTTTTTTTTGAGACAGGGTCTCACTCTGTCACCCAGGCTGGAGTGCAGTGACGTGATCTCAGCTCACTACAATCCCTACCTCCCAGGCTCATGGAATCCTCCTGCCTCAGCCTCCTGAGTAGCGGGATTATAGGCACGCATCACCATGCCTGGCTGATTTTTGTATTTTTTATAGAGACAGAGTTTCGCCATGTCATCCAGGCTCAAAATATGACCATTTTGACACAAAGTCAGTATACAACATGACTGATGTGACTCCATTCCTTTTTCATACTAAGTCTTTCAAATCTAATCTCAATTCATATTAGCCACATTTCAGGTCTCAGTAGTCACAGTAGTTCATGGCTACCGTATTACACAGCACAGAGCTGAGAAACATTGACCACACTGGCCTCTGCTTTTTAGAATTTCCCAAGATTTTAGGCTGTTTATGATGTTTCCCAAATAAGTAATGTGTTTTGGGGAACCTCTGTCACTCTTTCATTCCCAGGGGTACCTTCATTGAATTCCGGAATGGGATGTTAAACGTGTCGCCAATTGGAAGAAGCTGCAGCCAAGAAGAACGCATTGAGTTCTATGAACTCGATAAAGTAAGTCCTTCTGAAATATCTTTGGTGAATGGCTGGTTTTATGGAAATAAGATATGGCCCCATGTGGTGGTTCATGCCTGTAATCCTAACACTTTGGGAGGCCAAGGCAGGAGGATCACTTGAGCCCAGGAGTTCAAGACCAGCCTGGGCAACATAGTGAGACCTCATCTCTACAAATGATTAAAAAAAAAAAATTAGCCGGGCATGGTGGTACGCACCTGTGGTCCCGGCTATTTGTTTGGCTGAGGTGAGAGGATCACTCGAGCCTGGGAGGTTGAAGCTGCTGTGAGCTGTGATCATGCCACTGCACTCCAGCCTGGGCAACAGAGTGAGACCCCCATGTCAAAAACTAAGCAAATAAATAAATAAGATATTCATACCTTGGTGGCTAGTAGTTAAAAGTGTGCTTTCTAAACTGCAATACAAGAGACAATTGGCATCTTTTTTTTTTTTTCTCAGAAGGAAAATATAAGACAAAAGTTTGTAGCAGATCTACGGAAAGAGTTTGCAGGAAAAGGCCTCACGTTTTCCATAGGTATTGTATATATTGTTTGTGTTACAAACTTGGATCCCCATTTCCTGGAATTTGTTGTGGGCCAGTGAGCTATTGATAATGGAGTATGTGCAGTTTTAGGTGGGCAGGAAGATTAAATGAGCAGTCCAGTCTGTAGACAAAAAGCGGCCACTCTCTTTTCTGCATACTTAGCCATAATAGGACTTGTCTAGTCAAGAAACAGCTTCCAGACTGTTGGGCTTGCTTCTAAATTCTTACCCAACAGGATTCTTCCTACCTGCGCTTCTCTCGTCAGAAGAGGAGCACTTCGATTACTAATGAGTAGGAACTTCTCATACCTTTGGGCGGAAGAGAAGCACTATAGTGAACTCCGTGAGGGAGACATGGAATTGAACCCCTTAGGTAAACGAGACCGACGTCTTGGAATCATACAATGTTTCAACAGCAGGAACCTTAGGAGCCAATTGGGTGGCTTTTACAGATTAAGAAACTGAGGCCCAAAAAGGAGAAGAGACTTGTCCGAGTTCACAAAGCTGTTGTTTACACAGCCAGTGTGTGAACACTTCTGGTGTCCAGTGCAGAGTTCTTCCTGCAGCATGGATGTCTCAGGCTTGTCTTTTGTTAGAGTATGCCTGTCAAATGCTTTGCACACCGATTTCTCTTGTCAGGGCTAATGAGTCATTGCTCAAAGCCTTCTCATTGTACTAGCTTTCATAAAGGTAGAGGTTGTAGGAAAACTGGAATGGCAAAGGGATTATATTTAACAGATGAGTGGGTGGGTTTTTTGTATTCCTGAACTGTGAGATGGACATCTTTCTGACAAAGCTTTGAAAGGTTTCTTGTTGCCCACGAGCGCTACCTATAAATCACCTTCAGTGAGGATTCTCATTTTTCCTGCAAATATGCTGGATGCAGCCTGCTTCCAGGCATTTTCCACTGAGGGTGTGTTAAAGCCCGAGACGAGCACAGCAGAATGAGTTTTCATAAGCATGCTTCCTTTAAACCACATGCTTGCCAGGGCGCTTAAATGCAAATGCATTTCTCACTCTGAGTTGGCATTCTGTGCCTCAATTTTAGACCTACGTGAAATAATGCTGGAACAGAAAACATGATGTAGAATTAATTTCTAGAACCTATCCATGCAATAGTCTAAGTAGCAAACTAGAGTACTGAAAATCAACCTTGGCACCCCACTAACTGACAAAGAGTAAATTGTTTTATTTCAGTGGCATATCATTAGCCCCTTTTTCACCTTTTGCTTGTATGTGCCCCATCCCCACCCGGCAGGAGGCCAGATCAGCTTTGATGTCTTTCCTGATGGATGGGACAAGAGGTATTGCCTGCGACATGTGGAAAATGACGGTTATAAGACCATTTATTTCTTTGGAGACAAAACCATGCCAGTAAGTAGAGAAGTGTTTGTGCAGCTTCATTGTTGTGTTTGAGCTTGAGGGGGAAAATTGACAACGGGGCTGTTTTTCCTGTATCTACACTTTACCCACAGGCCCTGCTCAAACTGAGCAGTGGCTTCCGTCCTGGAGAGGGGGGTGATTGAGCCTCCTTCCCCTCTGAGCTCAGACCCGCGACACCTCTGTAGAGGTGAGGATCACACTGCGTGTTAGTTGATCCTTTTCAGTTTGGCTTTGGAATTAAACGTTGGCCACCCCATGTGCCTTCCAGAACGCCAGTCCCCAGTGCCACTGTCAAGCCCTGTGCGTTTCAAAGCTCTGCCTGTTTCAATCTTCTCTTTCCACTGTATTTGTCCCCCTGAGGCATTCATTCTAAGTTGAACACGAGGGGTCATGTTTGATGGGAGGACAGGGAATGATCTCATGAGCCTGAAACTCAGGAAGGGGCACCAGCGACGGTGAAGAGGCCAAGTGAGTCCCAGGCATCACACATGGTGGGTACTTGGAGCTGCCCCGAAGGGATGTCAGAAATCTCAAGTCCAGGACCACCAAATCTAAACTGAGAACTGAGAGCAGAGCCCGTGTTACAGGCCAGGGCCAGCAGGAGGAATACACAGAAGAATTGTCCCCAGGCGTCCTCCACCCAGCTTTGGGCCAGCTCCTTTTCTTTCTCTTTCTCTTTATTGTTATTTTTATTTTTTTGAGACCAAGTCTCGCTCTGTTGCCCAGCCTGGAGTGCAGTGGTGCAATCTTGGCTCACCGCAACCTCTGCCTCCCAGGTTGAAGCAATCCTTGTGCCTCAGCCTCCTGAGTAGCTGATATTATGGGCATGCGCCACCATGCCTGGCTAATTTTTGTATTTTTAGTAGAGATGGGGTTTCACCACATTGGCCAGGCTGGTCTCAAACTTCTGGGCTCAAGTGATCTACCCACCTCGGCCTCTCAAAGTTCTGGGATGACAGGTGTGATTTTTAGTAGAGACAGGGTTTCATCACGTTGGCCAGGCTGGTCTTGACTCCTTGCCTCAAGGAATCCACCTGCCTCAGCGATCCACCCACCTCGACCTCTCAGTTCTGGGATGACAGGCCGCGCCCGGCCCCATCACCTTTTCAGTTCCTCTCATCCTCTGGGCCCCTCTGCCTCCCTCCCACATGCAGCTTAGGGGTGTTGGTTACCTTACCATCAGCAGGCCCCTGTCACGCTTTCTCGCCATCCTGCACCCAGCAGGTGCATCATAACTGCTGCATATTCAGAGTTTCTCATCCCTCTGATCTCTGATCCACTCCAACATCCTTGCTGCATTGCTAAGATCTACCCATGAAAGGTGTGCTTTTCAGCAGGGCCCCCACGCCGCAGTCTTCCAGCAGGAGGGGCACTCGGGGATAGCAGAGGCTTGTTCCTTGTCAGAAGGATAAAACTGGAACCCGTAAAGGGTAAGGGACTTGCCCAAGGTCACACAGCTAATGACAGAGCTGGTGGCACCAGAAGAAATCTACCTCTTCTTTGTATGTTTTAAATAGCTTTATTGAGGTATCATGGATCAGCAAAAGCTGCACATGTTTAACGCGCACAGGTTCATGAGTTTAATCACTGTGCCCCTTTGGTTTTGGGGGCCGTTTGGGATTTTTTGTTGCTGTTGTTATAAGACCACTTCTCATGAGATATTCCCTCTTAACAAGTTTCTAAGTGTACAATACAGTCTTGGTACCTAGAGGCACTTCTGTTTGTCCAACAGATCTGTAGAACTTACACATCTTACCTAACTGAAACTTTATACCCATTGAACAACTTTCCATCTCCCTCCTCCACCAACCCGTCCCTGGCAACCACCGTTCTTTTCTCTGCTTATATGACTTCAGCACCTTTAGATATCTGATACAAGCGGAATCATACAGTATTCATCCTTCTGTAAGGGGCTTATTTCACTCAGCATGTCTTCTCAGTTTACTCCTGCTGTCACAAATGGCAAGTTTCCTTCTTTTTTAAGGCAGAATAATGTTTCGTGATATGAATATACTACACTTTTTTTTTTCTTGAGGCAGAGTCTCGCTCTGTCGCCCAGGCTGGAGTGCAGTGGCACCATCTTGGCTCACTGCAACCTCCACCTCCCTGGTTCAAGTGATTCTCGTGCCTCAGTCTCCTGATTAGTAGCTGGGATTACAGGCGCCTGCCACCACATGCGGCTAATTTTTGTGTTTTTAGTAGAGACAGGGTTTTGCCATGTTGGCCAGGCTGGACCTGCCTTGGCCTCCTAAATTGCTGGGATTACAGGTGTGAACCACTGCACCCAGCCAGAATGTACTCCATTTTCTTGATCCATTCTGTCAGTAGACACACGAGTTGTTTCCATATCTTGGCCATTATGAATAATGCTTCAGTGAACATGGGGGTGCAGATATCTCTTTGGGATCCTGACTTTGTCCTTTTGGCCATCTACCATGGATTAAAGACTTAAACACAGGACCTGAAACTGTAAAACTCCTAGAAAAAAAACACAGGGAAAAAGCAATGATCTTTTGCATGTGACACCAAAAGCACAGGCAACAAAGGCAAAACCAGTCAGACAATATCAGACTAAAAAGCTTCTGCACAGTAAGGGAAATAATCAGAATGAAAAAGCAACCTACAGAGGGGAAGAGAAATCTGCAAACCATATATCTGATAAAAGGACTAGTATCCAAAATGTATAAGAAACTCCAACAACTCAATGGCAAAAAAAAAAAATTTTTTTTAAATGAACAAAGGACTTGAATAGACAGTTCTCCAGAGAAGACATGCAGATGGCCAGTGGGTATATGAAAAAAGGCTCAACATCAGCATTCAGGGAAATGCAAATCAAAACCACAATGAGGTAAACCTCACACCTGCCAGGATGGCTATTTTATTTTATTTTATTTTGAGACGGAGTTTTGCTCTGTCACCCAGGCTGGAGTGCAGTGATGCGATCTTGGCTCACTGCAACCTCTGCCTCCTGGGTTCAAGCTATTCTCGTACCTCAGCTTCCCAAGTAGCTGGGATGACAGGCGCCCACCACCATGCCCGGCTAATTTTGTATTTTTAGTAGAGACGGGGTTTCACCATGTTGGCCAGCCTGGTCTCGAACTCATGACCTCAAGTGATCCACCCACCTCAACCTCCCAAAGTGCTAGTATTATAGGCGTGAGCCACCACACTGGGCCAGGATGGCTAATTTTTTTTTTTAAATGTTGGTGGCCTGGTGTAGTGGCTCACGCCTGTAATCCCAGCACTTTGGGAGGCTGAGGCGGGTGGGTCACCTGAGGTCAGGAGTTCGAGACCAGCCTGACCAACATGGAGAAACCCCATCTCTACTAAAAATACAAAATTAGCCGGGCATGGTGGCGCGCACCTGTCATCCCAGCTACTTGGGAGGCTGAGGCAGGGGAAGCTCTTGAACCCGGGAGGCGGAGGTTGCAGTGAGCTGAGATCGTACCATTGTACTCCATCCTGGTCAACAAGAGCGAAACTCTGTCTCCAAAAGATAAAATAAATGTTGGTAAGGGTGTGGAGAAATTAGAACCCTTGTACACCGTTGTGGGAAACGTTAAATGGCATAGCTATGATGGAAAACTATATAGTGGTTCCTCAAATTAAAAATAGAACTGCCATATGATCCAGCAGTCCCACTTACAGATCTATATCTAAAGTAATTGAAATCAGGATCTCAAAGAGATACCTGCTGTTTAAAGTAAAATAAAATAATATAAAATAAAGACAGGGTCTTGCTGTGTTGCCCAGGCTGTACTCGAACTCCTGAGTTCAAGCAGTCGTCCCGCCTCAGCCTCCCAAGTAGCTGGAATTACAGGTGTGCCATACCACAACTGGTGATGCCTGCTGTTTCAGTGAGTTGCTTACCACTACAATAAGCTCGCTCTCAGTGGCGTAGAAAGGTCTTGTTCTAAATCCCACATGAAATGGGTACTTTGAAGGAGGTGTAGCATTCAGGTTTGTTCTTAATGACAGTTAGAAATGGTTTTATAACCACATCCTTTGTGGAAATGCTTTTGATGCAGAAATGCTTTCAGTGCAGGCTTTGAAAAAGATCACTGTCTGACTCCGTGTCTTTAAAAAAATTAAGCTAATGAAATGACACCCAGGATCTAAGAGATGCCTGGAAGCTTCCTCAGTCCTCCTCTAGCTTGGTGCCATTTCTTACAGACAGAGAGGAGAGCTATTAAGACACACTACAGCAGATTATTCTGTAATGATGACATTCTTGCTTCACATAAATCGCCATCTAGAAGCCTCAGTTGGGACTTTGCAGAATGGAATGCATTTCTTAGATAATCAGAAAATGACTTCCTTTGGGAATTCTTCATTTGGGAATTAGAGGGTTTTCTATTCTGTTTAACCATTGCATTACCATGCCTGGATTCTATTTTTAAAATCTTACCTAGCTTTTAAAAAATGAGTATTATTTAATGGAAGCTTTCCCCCGATTGTAAATGAACCTGTGCATTCATTATAGAAAATTAGAGAAAGTACGAAGAAGAAAAGGAAAGTCACCTGTCACCATCCAGCGACGTCCCAGCCTTTCTGTGTATATGATCCCAAGAGTGGGATCCTTCCCTGTTGTTTTAGTTTTAGTCTTCTTTCTCTTAACGTGTTTTATTTTTCTCATATTCGTGAATATTCTTTGCAAAGAAGATTTGTAATGGCTGTATAACATTCTCTCATTAGGCATCGTTTACCCACCTCCCTCGTAGAGGCACCTTGGGTGGCTTAAGCGTTTTTGCCGTCATAACTGATGCTGTGGTGAACGTTCTTGCACGATTCTTTGCCCCCATCTCTGATCCTTTTCATCAGCAGTTTTCTAGAAATGGGAATTAGCAGTCCAGTCAACTAAATCTTCAGACAACATACCAGTTCTTGAAACTTTAGGCACAGAGCAATCCAAATACTAGCCTTACACTTTGCATTTTCAGTGATAGACATTTAGAAAGCTAGGGTTTTTTGCTTTCCTAATGAAGCTTAAT